GTTCCTGGCAAATGCATGTAGATGAAGTAGACTGATTGGATATGGGGACCCACCCTTGTTCTTTTCTCTAGCACTGTCAATGACTCTTGAGAATCCAGTTAGCATTAGAGAAGATAGCTCAGATTGATAAAACAAAAATATGATTTCAATTTTAGCAGAGGTTTGTTATCCAACATTCAATAAGATTGTATTGAATATCTATAAACATCAAGTCAACCTCTTCAGTCTCATGGAAATGCAGGCTGTAAGACATTTGCCATCGAGTAGGTTTGCTTATGGAACTGAAACATAGTGACTGCTCTAGCGCCATATAAGCAAAAGGCCCACACTGTTCACTATATGACGTCCACACTTAACTACACATGAGAAATTAGAGCCAATTAGGATAATAGAGCAACCTGGAAAAAACCAGCTACATATGAAGCATAATTATATTATTTGTCTTAAGAAGTTGAATTGAGAAGTAGAGAAATTATTATCATACAGTTATGAGTATTACTCAGTTGGAGGACAACAGGGATATTTGGCCATGAGGAAATTAATGAAGAAACTTCGGAAACAGCACACCGAAGAACACTGACCTTTAGAAGGAAGAAAATAAGAAAGAACCAAGATGGAGCATTTCCTCGGAGACCAATTACATGGACTTGTTCTCATTATCTAGTTGCCACAAGATCTAGCTTTATGTCCTAGGATTTGCCTTACCTATTTCATTTTTATTTTTCCAAAAGTTGTTTTCCTAAATATCATAGTCATCTGTGGTGGTATAGTTACTTTTGGTAGGCTGAATTTTGATATAGAACAATCAGTTTTCATTGAGGACTGTGGGAACAGTTATGGATCATGACACCCTATTTCTTTATCATATTGGAAATCCCTGTGGTATTTTTGTACATTCCTTTTCAGGTTACCCTAGGAGAAATTTCTTTTAAATCTTGGCACTTTGTGATGTTCTGCTTTGCTGTTGATGTATTGCCCTGACTTTTTCTTTGGGTATAGTGAAGCTTAGGGTCAATTTGGGAAAAGAGTTTATTTTTTCACAATGTGTCAAATACTAGAAGAACATGTAACAGTTGTAGCAATTTCTATTGTCTGTCTTTAAGTTGTTTTCCTCTTTCCCTAGCTAATCTAAAAAACATATTTATTAAGTTAATTGAAAATATTTGTATATGCAATTTCAGATCCATAGGAAAATAAGTAAGTTAAATAAGTAAATAATGTAGGAGAGTCGAGTTAACATAGAGTAAATATAAAATTAAATACATACATCCTTTTCAAAACACAATTCTATAATGGAATGACTGTATCCGTCCTCATTTATAATCAATACTGCTAACTTTTCCTGACAAAGTCTAAGATGATGATGATATATGACTACTTATTAAGAAGCACTTTAAGGCCTGCTAAAAATTTTAGAAGAATAACGATAAAAAAAAAAATCGGGGGTTTTGCTTGTGAAAATGAGTGAGAAAATACAAACCACTGTAAGGGTGTGTTTTGCTTACCAGGGTGGTTCTGCAAAGATACGTCTACTGACAAGCCCGAGCTGCAGAGGGACCCAGAGCTGGTGAAGCTGTGTTGCATGTGTTGGTCCCAGGAACAGTTGAAGTGTTCCATGCACTTGGCCTCTCCCAAACACAAAAAGGTTTAAAGAACATTGTGTATAACCCCTGGAGTTTTTTTTTTTTTAATATGAAAATCCCTTAGCAATTATTACAGGAAGTACCTACATAAATATAATAAATTTTTCACTTGTTGCCTAAGATGTGACGACGTTTTATGATTTATGTATTGTAGCTATTTTGGCAGCAATTTCTTTTGAGGTAATATGAATGAGTCAGGATAAATAATCTTCAAGTTTTTGTAACAATATCAAAAAGAAAACACATGTTATCATATAATCATTTAAATATTATCAACAAAATAGTTTAACTATTTCTCTTTGGAAAGGTTCAGTGCAGGAAAATAGGCTTTATTTACTGACCATATCATCCATTCCTAAGCAAAGAGTTATGCATGTGTGCTATTAATTCAGTGACAAGTTTAGTTTATTTTTTTATACTGCACTGTCACCTTCTCAGTGAAAATGCAATTGAGTCAATCAATTAAAAATTATGAAGGTAGAAAAAAATAAACATATGAGAAATGCAATCCAAAGAGTTTTAAAGCTTGTTCGAAGTTACCTAAGCAACTGAGAACAAACTCATGATTAAAATTTGTTTCTAGATTCTGGATGTAAGAATTTGGTTGTAATGCACCTGTATGCTGTGCTTTGGTTATGTTTGAATAGGTAATCTGTTTTTTTTTTTTTTTTTCTTGCAATAGAATTTACCTTTGGAGATATTAAACTTTGGCTGCCTGATTTTTCATTAGCAAAATAACATCAATGATCATGTAAACTATTACAATGCAGTAGCTCACTGAGGAAGAGAGTAAACATCATTGAAAATTAGCATGTATGTAATTTGCAACTGGCTAATGCATGCTCCAGTTTTTTGCTTTGCTTTGTCCAATCTCTACCCACAGTAGCATGAATTCACCTTTCTATTTTTGGGGTTTTAAAAGACACTAGAGAAGCAAAATGTATCAGAGAATAGATTAATCTTATCAGAGTAAAAGATAATTGGTGACACAGCAAATAACATCTGTTCTTATTAACAAATAAATAAGAACCTTTAATTGTTTAGAATTTTAATAACCTTTGCAGAAGTGGAAATTCATAACAAATAGAAGTCGATTCTTTCTTTTCTTTTATCCATGTACAGTGGTACCTATATACAGAGGTAATGGGTGTTAATGAAGTCATCCACAAGCAAACAAGAATCTCCGCAGATGGACTTAACTCAGGAAATAGCCTCATAGGTTCTCATTTCAATTCCACATTTTCAGTAAACAATCTTGGCTTTATCCATTAAACTGTGATAATAGTTCAGCAAGGGACCTCATAACAGAATCCTTTCATCTATTTCATTGATTTTCCAAGAGTTTAATTTCCTGAGCTTTGCCTCTCACCCCTTTTGACAACTCTATGGTCTTAAACATGTTGATACAAATATGTGGTCATTCTTCCTTTGACTTACCCATTTAAGATAAAAATTTTGTGATTCACAGAAATGGAAAATATCAGCAAGTAATCAGACTACCTGGAAAATTTTTATGGAAAAGACTCCACTTCTCAGGGCTCATATGAACTGATGAGCTTTCATTTATAAAGACTAAAGTATAATGGCAGCTGAGCGCTTTGCTCTATATTTCTAATATTGAATCCTAAAGTGTGCTTTTCTAATTTGTGAATGCCTGTATGACTTTTAACCTAAAAATTATTAATTGGGACTTTTTTTCTGCAATTCAAGGGCCTCTATCTAATTTCTTTTTAATTTCAGTTTTTCTTCTCTCCCAATAAAATGTCTGATACTCTTTCGGCGCTACCCTCAAGATTTAGTCTAAGCTTTGCTACTTTGACCAAATGGTTCAATATCTCAAATGTGATGTTGATGCAGGATTTTTAAATCTAGCAATACTGCTTAATTTAAAACAAAGATTTAAAGATAACTCTACTCAACAGGATTTTGAGCATACAAGGTTGCTGAGCAGATAACAGGATAAGGAACACACTCGTCTTCAGTATATTGTTCTCATTTTGTTTATTTGAAATAAGTCTCATTAAGTAGCCCAGGCAGGCCTTGATCTCTCAAGCCCTCTGCCTACTGGATTCTTAATAGAGAGGAAATGTTTCATGTTTCAGATGCAAAATATGGAATATAATTCATACTTTTATTTAGTGTTTGTGCTTCAGTGTTCTAGTCAGCTAGACTCACATACTGTTTAAGTTGTTTGGTATTAAATTCCTCAGGATGAGGAATTTCTTTTTTCACTATTTCCCAAGGCGACTTCAGCAGTTCTTCTCTTCTCTGCCTGGTCTTGGGGCCAATATTCCCCCTCATCACCAAAAGCTCTCATATATCAATTCAGAAGTCCTAAGTACTAAACTGCCATATGAAATTAAAGATCATACCGCCAACAAACAAGTGTACACATGAGACCTTGCCAGATTCTGATTTCTTAAATTTAATATATGTACCCGAAATATATTGTTTGTAATTTCTAACATAGACAAGAATGCGTGAAGATAGCCTGAATCACAACTGTGGAAAGCGGATCCCCAGTGGGTTTTCAGAATAATCAGAGTTGTGATTACAACTTGATGGTTGCCAGGGCTGTGCAGTTTGATTCGGATAGGATTTTCTGAGGTGGTATCCGTTAGGACTAACTAGGCACACTTGTGCACATTTTTAGTGTGGATGTTACATCTTGCTATACAAAGAGAAGCTTTACAATGACTTTTTAAATATTTCAGTGTACAGTAACTAATTGTTATTGATAAATTTGTCCATGTTTTAAAAGCATTCAAAAATACCTTAGGAATACATTTGGTTTAGATCTTCAGATTAATAAGCTAATAAACATCTTAATGTTCACACATTAAAATATAGGTCATATGACTCTACAGTCAGTCACTTCCTCATACCTGTGGGTCCTGATTCCACAGATTCAACTTTGGGCATAAAGTTTTGTTTTGTTTTTTGGTTTTTCTTTTTTTTAAGCATCATACGTATCCTGAACGTAAAAAGACTTTTTTCTCATTATTCCACAAACAATAAGGTAGAAAAGCAATTCACAAAGCATTTACTTTGTGTTAAGTAGCTTAAGAATCTAGAGATGTCTTAAAGAATAAGAAAGAATACTCTTTGGTTATAAGTAAAGACAGTCACATTTTATGTAAAGGACTTGGGGCATCATGACATTATACTGCTGGGATAGCCAGGTCAAAATCCGTGCGGATACTGAGGCATGAGTACATATTTTTCATTCTCTTTGAATAACTCGGTTTCAGGATTTATATGGATGAAGCCAACATGAAAACTGGGCTTTGGGGAAAGTGTTACAGATAGCCCCAAGTGTTCTGATGTACTTAGTGCAGGCCTCTCTTTGCATTTCAGAACTCTTGGATCTGAACAGGACGGCGATATTTCACAGCCCCTTTGCATCTCTGGACCTCCATACGATGCTTTTGGATGAGTATCAAGAGCGGCTCTTTGTGGGAGGCAGAGACCTTGTCTATTCCCTGAACTTGGAACGAATCAGTGATGGCTACAGAGAGGTACTGAAATGCCAGGTGTTTGAAACGAAAGAGAGGGTGTTAGAGAACATTCTTCCCCCACTGTGTTTCTACCACTTTAAACTTTATAATGATTACCTAATTGAAATAAGATCTTCATTGTAAAGAAAACAATTGGAGGAAGGTTGTAAAGCTTAATATATGAATTTTCTAGCATATCACATCAATGTTTTCAGAGAGACACTTTTCTTGTGATTTGATGTTTTTGCATAGTGAGTGACCTTTAACTGTCTTGAGGAATAAGTTGGAGCATCATGGATTAATAACAGTACCTCTGGGCTGTATTGTTCCCACACCCAATATGGACCTGTAATATCAGTTATAATTGTACTCTTCTTGGCAATATCATTACACAGATGCTCCTTAAACTTGGTGAATATTAAAGTAAGATCAATGCTGGCACACACCTTTAAATCCAGCACCCAAGAGGCAGAGGCAGGCAGATCTCTATGAGTTCAAGGCCATCCTGGTCTATAGAGCAAGTTTCAGGACATTCAGGGCTACAGACAAACTCTTTCTCAAACAAACAAACAAACAAAAATTAAAATCATAAGTTGGAAATGGTTAACTGTGGGAAGGAAAGCAGTTTATACAAAAGAGAATTGGGTTCAGAGTTGTATCAATTTTACATGAAACATGAAGAAACTTAAATCATAAAGTTTTTTTGGCATTAGTATGCATATGAAATAATCCACTTTGTTTATGTTTCATTTTTATGTTCATCAAAATGGGCCAAGTCTGTATCTTTAAAATTAAAAAAAAAAATGACAAAAAGCAGCATTCCCCCAGTCTTTGCCAAGTTCTAATTCCTACAGGAAATAATTTAAAATGTTTTGCTGTTTCTTCAAGTTCTTTTTACCTTTGTGTAAGATTCATGCACTAGGAAATGGGGCCAGCGCTTAATGGGAGAACGTATAATTAGCACTCATAAGGTGCTTGGCTCAACCACAGCCTTCCTCATCCCCCTGAAAATACGAAAGCTACCATTTGTGTACAGTTCTCCATGGATAGAGCCGCTGTTTGGATGCGTGTAGCATCTGGTGATTTTTGAGGAGACAAAGACTTGCTTTCTCCTTTTTCAGTAGAGAAATTCAGTGACCTTTGCATTACCTACCGTCTGCAATGCGTGGCCTGTCCTCCACCTTCCCTATATTCAAAGACAGAAATTTTTGATTAAATAAGAATCACTTGTTAGAACTATTAGAACCACGAAGATAGTTCATAACATCTTAATTTCTCTTCCTTCCCCAATTACTTCTTTCTTTTTTCTTTCTCCTTTCTTCTCATACTGCAACATTCTTGTTGTGAAAAGAAAAATTGGACTTTTTATCATGTTTTAGTTTTTGTTTCTTACACTGTTTTTCTTTTTCGACCCACCAGTAAGGAGCTTTATATCACAATAATCTAAGGGATCTTTAGATTTATTTAAAAATAATAGATCATATGCTACTTGGAGCATCCTTTGGGCCTCTCACATATGTGGAGGTTCAGCTGTTCTTTCTGGCTTTAGTCTGACATTTTTCTGAATCATATCCTCTTTATCTGTTCTGAGAAAAAAAAATCAAAGTTAACTTTGATTTATATATATAATAACATTTATATAGTATAAATATAAATAATATATAAAATTATATATAAATATACAAATAAAATATATAGAAATAACAAATATATTTTATATTATATAAAAGAAAAATTATATATACATAATTATAAATAATAATAACTTCTTTAAAGTTAACAGATTCTGCCCAAATTCAAACACCAAATATATCAATGCAAAAGAAGAGTACACAGGTTTTGGATTTTGTATTCATAGGAAAAGAAAGAAGGGCGTCAGTCCATATAAAGCTACTGTTATGTACATTATTTCAGAACTGACCACTTGTGGACATCCAGAGGTACTCACTTGACATTAAATAATTGACTTCTCTCTTCTTCTCCAAGAGCTTTTGTACATGGATCCAGATACATGCACATGACTTCTAGTTAAGTTCTGTGGATTATTCTATCACTTATTGTATGGTCTCTTTTACATCTCAGTCTCTTTCTAAGTACTCTCAGTAATAAAATGTCTATTTACTCAGATCTTCTATGATGGAACATCTAATGTTGAGGCAAAAAATAAATTAAATCCAAGCATTGATGGCATAGAAACTCAAAGGCCCTACTGTCCACTGCTGAACAATCTACTCGTGACAGGTTCAGAGAAAGTGGGACTCATTGTCTGAAGTTGGGTCTCCACTGTGATCTCATCAGACTCCAGTGGAATTCAGTGCACCTAGATGTCCCTTGTTAAACTAGGTAGTCACGAGACCAAACCAAAAGTGATGGATGAATCTTGGAAAGTCGGTAGTAGGGATGGGAAGAGAGGTCCTGATTGTGACCAATAGGAGATCAGAGAGGATGTAGGGGAAAGTAATCAGAATAGATTTTATTCATGTATGGAATTGAGAAAAAAACAAAATTAATCAATATAATATTGAAGATCAGTATCTATTAAAGTTGCTAGTGTGTGGACTGAGGGGGTGTCATAACAGGTATAAGTGTTTATGGCACAAGCCTCACATCATGAGTTGTTTCTGAAGCACTTGGCATAAGGGAAAACTGATCCCTAGAGCTGTTCTCTAACTCCACAAACATTCTATGAAATGCCTCCACCCCCATCAATGAGATAAAAACAGTTTTCAAAAGTGAAAAACAATTTCTAATTTAGAAGACGATGTTCCCTTCTAGCCTTTCATAATGCAAGTGCTATTTGTATTGCACAATTCTTAGTAGTATAATCTTTGGACTGGATCAGGCCCTCTCATAGAAAGGTCCTGAGCATTAGAACTGCTGCCTTAGGACACAGACTCTCTCACCAGCTTTTCTAAGCTGTGGTTTTCTATGCAAATGGAGAGATCAAGACACAGCAGCCCCTACTCTGATGTGATTCCCCTTTCGAGTAGGGAAAATTGGATCTTTTTTGGAATTTCTCATTTGTTGTTTTGGCTTAATTGTGCCCTCAGGCCTTCAGTGCCAGAAGATGAGATTTTATGAAGGAAATGACCCACGAAAATAATATGAGAGTAGGGGACCTGGAGCATACTGGGGTTTTATGAACTAACTTCCAGGGAGGTAATAGAGTAGCACGAGGCCATTGAGCTTCAGGGTGCACCTAGCAAGGATACCAATGAAAGTGATTTATAACACTATTAAATTGAAGATCTTTTCTGTACTAAAGGAAATATCTTGATTTTTGTGGTGCTTAAGGCCTGCATGTCCTTTAGGGCCTTCTCAATGTAGTTAATTCTAACGTAAATGTCAACATTACAAAGGTCTACAGCAGGGACCGAGCACTAGGAATTTGCGGGTTTATGCTTACTCAGCTCTAATGTAGTAACTTCTTCCTTACATTTCTTATCCTGTACTTGTTCTGCCTCTTTCACTTAAATGTTTAGCAATACAACTGTCAGTAACCCAGTAAGCTCTGTTCAGTAGTTTCTGTTTACAGTGAAGAGTGGTTCACAGAGCAGCTGTTTAAAATGAATGGGCTTAGCATGAGTAGGGCTCTTCAGTGGTCAGTTCTGAAAATCTAAGTGGTATTTTCACGGGCAAACTCTCCCACTGACTTTCTGTCTGGATCAGTGTTTACAGTCATATTTTCAGTGCTTTCTGCTTTGCTTTTCTAGTCCTGGTTTCTAACATTAGGAAAAGCCTTCTGATATCTTGAACAATTTCTGCTCCAAGAGATAGTTTTCTGTGTGTTTTAGCATGTTGAACTGCTCTTCTGGTCTTTACCTAGGAAATACCAATAGCATGTGTGGTGGTGTCAATGAGAAATGTCCTCCAGAAGCTCAGGCTTAGTCCCCAGATATCGAAGCTATCTGGGAAGGCTTAGGAGGGGGAGCTTTCCTGCGGAAGTATGTCGCTGGGGCAGACTTTGAGACTATGTACCCTACTGTTACTTTCAGTTGTCTCTCTCTGTCTTTTTGTCTCTGTTTCTCTGTCTCTCTTAGTCTCTCTATTTCTTTCTTGCAGTTAAGATGTAATCTCTCAGCTTCCTGCTCTGCACACAATATCTGCCTGTTGCAATGACTCATCACCATGATGCATTCTTATTCTGGAACCGTAAACCCAAATTATGTTTTCCTTCTATAAGCTTCTTTTCATCATGGTGTTTCATCACAACAGAAAATTAACTCCAATATTATACAAATAATCCCCAATGTCTTAATAATAAAATAAATATCTCCAGATATTGTCAGATATTCCCCAAGAAAAAGTATTACCCCAAGCCAATCTACTCATTTATATACAGGATTAGACTCTCCTATTAACACTACCATCATGAACAACAACACATAGCCTAGCTTAGATCTACCTTATAAGCCACATCCCTTCTATTGTTCTTTAGATCAAGTAGTTTGGAAAATATACCCAATGCCTATTTTTATTAGCACATCTTACTTCTTCATTTCGTAATTTTAATATAGTTAAGACATAATAAAATTGACATATACAACTAAACAAGTAGCTCAAATACCTTAGAGCAGTGGTTTTCAACTTTCCTAATACTGCAACCTTTTAATAATGTTGTTCTTCATGTTATGGTGACCCCCAACCATAAAATTATTTTCTCTGCTACTTTACAACTGTATTTTTGGTACATTTATGAATTGTAATGTAAATGTCCGATATGCAGGATATAAAATGTGGTCCTTGTGACAGGGTCATTCAGCCCACACAGGTTGAGAACCGCTGCCACAGATCATGTGATAATAACCACTAGCCACCTCAAACAAGGGTATCACCAATCACATTACATGGGTGACTATATTTATCTTCTCTCTACTTCTCCATCTTCTGCCAAGCAAAGAAGATACTTTCCCTTGTTTTTAGTTGTCAGAATTATTTTGTTATATGCTCTCTATACACTGCATCTATTGGAACAGGTAATTTTAGCAATGAATAAAGACATGCAATTATGAATTGTAATT